TTTTTCTTCTTGCAAACAGGATATGGATCCGAAATAAGTGAAAGTCATGAAACAAAAAGTCATGGTTCCGGTGATTCTAGCAGCGGTGGACATACACTTAATTCAAAGGGATATTGGCGCAGTGGTGGATATAAAAAAGGTAAATTAGTTATTAAAAAAGTGTAACTTTCTTTAGATACATAGAAATAATAAATCATGATCGTAGTCTTGAAAAAATAAAATAAAACAAAAAAACATATAAATACAATAGTTTTATAAATTACATATCTTTAAATAACGCTTGAACATTAACTAAAAGCAAATAAAAATTTCAAGATTTATAGCTTTCTTCATAATTATTGTAACTCTAATTAAATAATAAATTATGTATAAATAAATATAATTAAGTGTAATTATTAGAATTAAAATTTTTAGTCAACTATTGTTGGTAATTTTTTGGTTGATCTTTTTATATTTTTATTTCCTAATCTAAATTTTTCACACGAATGACAAATTCTCTCTTCTTTTGTTTATTTTCAATCCGCTTTCATTTTTTTTTCTTTTTTTTTTAACATCAAAAAGTTCGTATTAGTATGTATAACTTCTCAGTTACGTTTTATATTAAGCATATTTTCTTAAAACATTATAAATTCATTTTATTATCTGAAATGAGAATAAGATTAAATCTGAGAATCGTAACAGAATTAATCCAGCAAACCTATTATACTATTATACCATTATATTATTATACTCTTATAAACAATTTTTATTTTGTTAAATCAATGTTTCAAATTTCACCGAAATTTCTCCAAAATACTCAAATTCGATAATCGGTTTAATAAATAATTTACCAAAATTAACACAATGCCGATCGTATTAAATTCAGCAAGTTTCAAACTTCAAATCAATGTCTAATAAATATTGTTTAATAACACTTTTGGTCACTAAATTTTGAATGATTATATACATTTGTGAAATCAATGATGCAACAATCTAATATACAATTATTAAACATTGTAATTATGTGTGAATCATGCTGAAACATTTTCCGAGTTTTACAAATTGTACATTTATAGTTGATATATATATATATATATTGAAACAACCTATTAACAAATTATTTGAAATTTCTTTTTTGAATAATTAATTATCGTATCAAGTAGATTGCAATTATTTTTAAAATTGTTGCATGACATAATATAATAATATTGGCCAAAAATTTGAGACTTTTACGTAGCTATATATTTTCTGAATCACTATTGAAATTAGGTTTTGTATTGGATACATGTATTTTACATACAATAATGTGTAAAAAATAAAATATTTACTTGCGATTCAGATCGTAGTCTTATTATTGTTAATTAATATTGTTAACATTCGACAATAAATGACTATCGTTAATGTCGATTCAAATATATCTCAATTTCTTTAAATTGATAGATATATAATTAACAAATTAATTTTCATTATTAACATCGGAAAGTTATTATATAACTTCCATTAATTCATACCACTAAAAATAATTGTCGATTAATAATTATTTTAGTAGATGAAGAGCAACAATTAAGCTTGATTTCGGAGACACCTTCAATTATGAAACGAAGTCCTACTATACAATCGTGTACTGCGTCCGTTGGTTCTCAATCCCCGGCAGTGCCACGAAAAATCAACATTTGCGTGGACAAAGAAAAGAAAGAAGAAGACGATGGCCGTCATTTAACAGTACCAAAAGTCATTGCTGTTTCGTCGAGCTCTGAGACTCTTACGGGTAAAATAACTTTTACGAGTAAAAGTTACGATTTCTGTTCAAGGAATGATAGAATAACTGTGAATTGGACTACGAAATTCATTTTCTTTTCTTATGAAGTTTATTTTGGAACGTGAATATACTTTACTAACAATGAAGCTTTTACGAATATTGATATTATCATTAGTATTTTAAATATTTTCAAATATGTATTTTATATGCATTATTATTAAATATAGTTTCAAATATTTTGATATATGTACCTAAATAATATTATTATTAATCCATATTATTCCTAAATATTTTCCAATTTATTGTACTTTCATTAATATCTAATCATTAAGACGCGATGATTCATTGTATTATTTAAAAAAAAAATTATCTATAGATTATTTTTGAGAAACTTTTTTCCTTGTCCATATTTTACGTGATTAATTAATTAAGAAATTAATTCATTTCAGATAATACGATAATGAGTGCACCTTCCTCGCCAAGCAACCTTAGTTCCGTTACACTGGTTGGATCAACTGGTTCCGGATTAGATCGCAGTCCACAAGATGGTACTTATCGATCTGTTTCCAAAGAAACGGACACACCAGTGGCAACTGGTCTCCCAAAAGAAGGTAAGTTAACCGTGAGAATTTCGTTTATTTGCAAGAAAAAATTATTAGTTAATTATAGTTATTTATTCTGAATAAAGATTATTATTATTTAACAATTTATTATTAGTTCCCAAGAATTTTACTAACTTTACTAATTCTTAATAATTATAATAAGTAAAAGGATTTTTTTGGAAATGATATTTTCAATATGAAACAATAATGAAATAATATGTAGAAAAAATAAAATTTTTTAAAATTTGAATATACATACAATTAGTCATGAAAATATTGAAATATTTATCATAAGAAAATGTTTATCTATATGTATTATATCTATATACGTGTTATATAAAATATTTTGAAATTTCATTAACTCTATAATGAGAAGCGATTGTTACGATTATATTGGTAAAATTTGAAAGCAATCTAAAAATGTACATAGAAGTTACAAAAAAAATTTATTGCAAATATATTTAGTAAAAAATAAAAAAATAAGTAATAATATAATCTTAAGAATATACTTATAAATAAATGGTTCGTGGCTCTTCAAATTCTTTCGAAAAACTATAAACAACCGATATAATTTTCTCGGTTAACTCTTTATCTTACACTTGATCAATATAATCATAACTGAATCTTAAATGAAATTTTTAAATACTTTATATAGCATCTAAAATATATAATTGTATTTGTATATTAAATGCATACATTGTATTTATTTATGTGACATAATGTATTAATTACATTAATATACAATATATACATTAATATACAATATATGTATATATACAATATATATACAGTATATATATATACAGTATATATACAGTATATATATACAATATATACATTAATATACATAATGTATACAATTACATTAATATACAATATATACATTAATATACAATATACAATATAGTTATAATACAGATTCATAAAAAGGTCCTAGTGTTCGAATACTTTCTTGAACAACAGTATGGAAATGCAATTTTAAAATTGTATGATGTTACAGAAAGATTAAAATATCACAGTAATTATTTAGTATTTAAAAGAAATACATTGATTTAAATTATTATTTACAATATATTTAGATATAGATTAATTATTTACAAAAAAATCTACTGATTTTAATACTGACTTAATTGCCAGGGAGTAATTCTAAACAACTTTTCCCTATAACTGTCGCTCTCTTTTAGTTCTCAAAATATTCGCAAAAATATTATTATTATTATTATTATTATTTGTACTTTGTTTTATTTTAAAGTGGTCCCGTTAACACGTGGAGTGACTACTATGTGAATCGAAAGATTACACGATTATGATTAATTTTGTAATTACATTACAAATTATTATATTACAAATAAAGATTACATGTTACATATTACAAAGACTCAAGAAGAGACCAGCAAGTATAATGAACTTTAGCATATTTTTCATATATCTGGGATCACTTAAGTTCGATCTTAAGTTTTCTTTGATATCAAAAATATTCCTTATAACTGTATGTTTAGAACAGACCGATACTTTTCATGAAATTATTTTCCAAACTCTCAGACGGGCAATTTACTTACGAGCATCTCGAGTCTGAAGCATCGACAGAAACAGAGGAGAAAACGCCCACAGAAAGTCCTGTAACGCCAAAGGCGAAATCCGCTGAAATAACCGAAAGTAAAACAAGCAAAGAAGAGAGAGAGAAACAACCAGCAAAAGAACCTGAAAGTGACAGTCCATCTGTGCAGACTCCTCAAAAATCAACGCAAAATCAACAGAATCAACAAAGATACCAACATAGAGCATCCATTGTCTCTGCTCCTGCGGCTACTGCAAGAAGTAGTTCAATCTCTACGATAACTGGAGTATGTCGAAAAATGGTTTCTTTAATATTTAATTAATACTGACTTTCTATACGTTTTATTTCTATTATTTCATATTATTTTTATATATGTGTAACATCGCATATATAAGATGTTGTTATAATTAAAATAACATAACATGAAGAACATTAAAATAACATAGAAATAATACAGTTAATCATAGAAGTTTACATATATACATCAAATGATTTGAAACAGAGAAAGAAATTTTGAACATTTTGGATCTGCATTTATTTATTGGATAAAATTAAACCAATTCTAAAATATTCTAAAATATTCATAATATTTAAATAAACATGTAAATAAATCGAAAATCTATATATAAACGATTTTATAAAAATCTATATACAAACAAGATTTATTCTGGTTATAATTAATAAAAAAGTAATAATAAAAATATATATTGTATATTATATATTATATCACAAGTCATTTATAGCAGATTTCGTGATTTCTTGTCTCGATTTATGTAATCTTCTTTAGAATCTGTATAATTAATAAAGAAATTCATATTTGAAATTTACACCTGGAGAAATTTACAATTGGAGAAATTAAATAATTCTGTATACAACAAAGTACATATGTAACACTTGTACTTTCTAAAAATTACACATATAATTTAATAATTATATTATCTACAATAAGGACGGAACATTAAAAATAAAAAAATGTTAAAATGTATGTAAACTTTTGAGATTGACTGTAATACGTACAAAGCCAATGATAGTATATTATCTAAATACTATTTATTACATACTATATTATTTCCGAGATTACAAAGGATCTATCAGCAAGGTAGAATAAGTTACGTGCATGTGTGTGTGTGTGTGTGTGTGTGTGTGTGTGTGTGTGTGTGTG